GCATCTTGCAGTTGATGGAGATTTGTGGGATGCACATCCAGGGCATGAAGCTCCCGTTCCACCACATCCCAAAGATGCTCTATTGGGTTGAGATCTGGTGACTGTGGGGGCCATTTTAGTACAGTGAACTCATTGTCATGTTCAAGAAACCAATTTGAAATGATTCGAGCTTTGTGACATGGTGCATTATCCTGCTGGAAGTAGCCATCAGAGGATGGGTACATGGTGGTCATAAAGGGATGGACATGCTCAGAAACAATGCTCAGGTAGGCCGTGGCATTTAAACGATGCCCAATTGGCACTAAGGGGCCTAAAGTGTGCCAAGAAAACATCCCCCACACCATTACACCACCACCACCAGCCTGCACAGTGGTAACAAGGCATGATGGATCCATGTTCTCATTCTGTTTACGCCAAATTCTGACTCTACCATTTGAATGTCTCAACAGAAATCGAGACTCATCAGACCAGGCAACATTTTGCCAGTCTTCAACTGTCCAATTTTGGTGAGCTCGTGCAAATTGTAGCCTCTTTTTCCTATTTGTAGTGGAGATGAGTGGTACCCGGTGGGGTCTTCTGCTGTTGTAGCCCATCCGCCTCAAGGTTGTGCGTGTTGTGGCTTCACAAATGCTTTGCTGCATACCTCGGTTGTAACGAGTGGTTATTTCAGTCAAAGTTGCTCTTCTATCAGCTTGAATCAGTCGGCCCATTCTCCTCTGACCTCTAGCATGAACAAGGCATTTTCGCCCACAGGACTGCCGCATACTGGATGTTTTTCCCTTTGCACACCATTCTTTGTAAACCCTAGAAATGGTTGTGCCTGAAAATCCCAGTAACTGAGCAGATTGTGAAATACTCAGACCGGCCCGTCTGGCACCAACAACCATGCCACGCTCAAAATTGCTTAAATCACCTTTCTTTCCCATTCTGACATTCAGTTTGGAGTTCAGGAGATTGTCTTGACCAGGACCACACCCCTAAATGCATTGAAGCAACTGCCATGGTTGATTAGATCATTGCATTAATGAGAAATTGAACAGGTGTTCCTAATAATTCTTTAGGTGAGTGTATTATGTGTGACCTCTCCCGAAGACAGCCCTGATCGTAGAGCATAATTAATTTTGGTTGAATAGGTACAGTATCTGCTTCCCCCTTGTGGTGAACATAGCTTAAGCATGCAATTTCGTCATATCATGGCGGTTTTGAAATTGAAATTAATCAGGCCTGAATTAGAATGTTCTGTATTCATGAGCATTAATGCAATTTTGTGTTATCTCAGGAAGCAGTATTAAAACTCGTCACAAAGTCATTTTTATTTCTTTCAAACAGTTCAGTCCAAGACAATTCCTTTTTAAGGTAAAGGTAGTGCTTTTTAAAATCTCAATTGTGCTTTTTAAAATACCAAGAGTTTGTACGCCTTTTTCCCAGCACAGAAATAAACAAAATAACCCATAATTAAGATTTTCAGTGACTCATATTTGTTGACAAGCAAACAGAAACATATTAGTAAAAAAGGATGTGCAAAAGCCATACAAACACTTCACATAAGAGCACATTAATGCAGAGGAAAATAGTTCCTGTGAAATTTCTGAATATGATGGAAGGGCTGACACACAGTTACCTGCAGTTTCATGTAGTCACATATAGGCCATGAAACCGCTTCGTTCCCCAGAATTCATAATATTGATAGAAGTACCAGTGCCATGTAACCTGCTGCGCTGATAGAGTAATGATTGTGCAACTTTGACTTGCCTGATAGATACTGTCTTTAAAAACTTATGTACTCAGCATATGTTTTTGTCCAAAGGGGTATACAAGAAATCTTAGTGCCAGAGACCAGGGACGGTGAACAACCTTGGAGAAGCTGGGGTTTAGGGCCATGCTCAAGGACCCAGTGATGATGTGATTACTTTAGTGGCCATGGGATTTGAACCCAAAACCGTCTGGACATGGGGACATATTCCTAACTCACTGAACTATATGCCATGGGAAACACATGTGCAGGGCTGACTTGGGTTAGCTGGCTGGAGTGAGATTTTCAATTTGATACATGTCTGCTCACACATGCACATGCATTTACATGTATGTAGCAGTTTTATTACCTTGTAAATAGTCTGTAGGGTATGCAAATTACCCCAGCACTTTTGATGTAGCTGATTTTCAGTTTGTAATGGAATAATGTAGATTTGCTGTAATATTTCTTGTGTGAGCATGAGACTCTGAATGCGTGAGTGTCACACCAGATGCGTGAGAGTTGGCAGCTCTGCATGCGTTTTTTGCAAACAGTTTAGGTGTTATTATGTCAGTTATTGGAGAACTGAATGATAGGTCGCAAGAAATTTGACCATGTGCATTGGTGGGGGGGGGGTGCCACTATCACCTCACACCTCCAGTGTTGTGGGTTTGCTTGTTCCCCCGGATATGTTGCATGTTTCCTCCTGCATGCAACTCCTGCAACTGCATTTCTAAGACATGCAGTTAGGCTGTTTGGTGTCTCTAAAATGCCCACAGAGTATGACTATGTGAATGTACCTAGGAATCGACTAGCATCCCAAACTGGGGTGTACTCCAGCCTTGTGTCCCAGACTGCCTGGGGTAGGCTCTAGGATAGTTAGAAGATTCATGCCAATGGAGATTTACATGGTCAAAAACATGGAATAAGTTGCTCAAACTTACTTCTCCAAGTTCCAAAAGGATGTGCTACCACCATTTACCAGCGTGCTTTACCTATATTGTTCAAATCAAAAAACAAATGTAAGACCTTTTGGGAAAGATACTGGTTAAGCAACATAATACAACAAATAAGAATAGTAATGGAGCTGCAGGTTATATAAGTTCTTTGTGTTTCATAACATTACATACACCGGATATGCACACCTAGTAAACATTACAAGCCATGGATTCTAAATAGCATAACAGGAGCATTTGAAGTTTTTTTTTTTTGTTTCTAAAGCCATTCTTCTCCTTGCATACATGTTCCTGTTTCAGACTTGAAATGGTGCACACAAGGAATGTAAAGAAAGGGTAAACACAATAAATGGCCTGGATACTGATGTTTCAGTGCACTTACACTCTGATGAGCTGTAACTTAAACTGTTTACACGCTAAAGATCAAAGAGCACTTCATTAAAAATCTGGAGTAAAAAAAAAGAATGTCATTTTGAAGGAAACATGAAGGTACTTTGAAAATTCCAGTTACATACAAAACAAAAAGTTTAAATGCTTTTCCAGATAAGAGGATCAAACATAAGAGATTTAAACAGTACAACTTTTGATTTCTTCATAAAAACTTTACAACACTGCCAAGCCCTGTCTGAAAGTTTGTGTATTTAGATTTTAAGCTTTTAAACTTCACCACAGCTTTTTTTTGTTTTTTGTTTAAATAAAAACATTGGTCTTTTTCAAAGGTTAGATCCATTACGCATAAGTATTAATGAACAAAAATAGCAATAAAAACACTTATCAAAGTAAAAGGTTTCAAAACATGATTCTTTGTGCCTTAGAAGCATGTACAAATAACTGTTTAAATATCAATCCATTTTCTTTAACCGCTTGCCCAATTCAAGGTTGCGTGCAAGTCAGGGCACAACCCAGGATAGGACACAAACCCATCGCAGGGCGCACTCACACACCATATATTCATGCATACACATTATGGACAATTTGGTAACTAATTAACCTCAGCATGTTTTTGGACTGTGGGGGGCGGGGGGAAACCGGTGCACGCAGAGTAAACCCCACGATGACATGGGAAGAACATGCACACTCCACACACAAAGAACCCAGGTGGGAACATGAACACTGATCACAGAGATGTGAAGCTGACCATGGCACCATCGTGCCGCCCCATCTGTTTAAATAAACACTGAATAATGGTTATACTTTTTAAACATGTATGCAGTTAATGGAACGACGAGCTGCTGCGTCGTTCCGAATATGGAGAGTCATACTGATTTTCTTGTCTTGTAGACGTGGGTTTCTCTCTGCAGCTGAATGTCTGCCGGTTCTCCTGGCAGAGCTGTGAGCCGCCAGAAGCAGAGGAGTTTGCACCAGCTTATTCCTGAATGGTCACAATAAAGAGAAAGGGTAGGAGAGAGAAAAGCAGTCAGGTGAAGTCAGATACTAATGAGACTGCAGTGTCTGGAAATCAGACCCAAAGAGGATCCAGAATGGCGAAGACCTCATGGCTTACATTGGCCATGTGGTTTTTCACTATAGAAACATTTCTATTTCTTTAAAATCTGCCCAAGTGACTCCAAGTTCAATGACAAAACCAGGCTTTTCATTGAAACCATATCAATCTTAGGTTGACCTTTAGAGAGATGATTTCATTTTTTAATCTCTAAGATTAGCTGAGCTTCAATGAACTGAGCCAATTTGGCGTGTTTCAGGCTGCAAAAGCCTAATTTCTTAAACGAACCCTTCCCAAGAGTGATAATTGTACGAGGCCTGCACAGCCTCAGACGATACTAGCCCAGAAAAATGTAACCCTATTTTAAACATTTCTCTCAGAACCCTCTTGCTGCTCATTCAGACTGTAAGGATAATCCCCAGGTCTATGTTGGAGCCATTGGCAAGTAGATCTGTTTATTCAGAAGTGGACTGCTGACCCAGACATTAGATTTGTTTTTTTAAGGAGACATTTAGCAGACTGGTAGTGGGCAGAGGCAGTGCAGATGGTGATACAAGGCACATGATTAGACAGCAGACGGCACACATCACCCATTGCATGGTCATGCTGAAATGATATTCTGGGGATGTATGAGTGTGATATGGTTTTGACGTACATATACAATCTGACGATCTGTGTGCATCTGAAGGAGATCAGTGTTTTTCTGCATGTAAGGTGTGTCATACTGCATTTCAGAAGAGTGATCATTTTTGCGAGTACACCTGGTGAGCGTCGGGCAATTGGACATCATGGGTCAATAAGTCAGAAATGGAAAAATGAATAACATGATGCAAATAAAACTGTACAGATAATAAACACAAAAAACTTGTTACAGTGACATGGTTATTTATGTTTCTTTGGGGGGGAAATATTACAATTTTGGTCTTCATTCTTTGATCATAATATTCAGTTCACTTTAAAAAGTACCAAAAAGGACAACATGAAGCAGTATCAAAATATGGAACAGATAACAGTTAATCAGTAAAGCCCTTTAAAATCTTAAATAAAACAACAATACATTGGAAAGACAAATATTTGGCAACAGGTTGAATAAGTTAACGTGCAAAATAAAATGAAAGAGTTGTACTATAATGAGACTAATATATGACACTGGGATTCTGGACCCCAAAGCAGAAATCTGGCTCTAGGTACTAATATACAAGTCATTCAGTCACTTCGAGTCTCGCCAAGTTGAAAAAGCTCTAAAATTTTGTGGATACAGATGCTCCTCGACATATGATGGATTCATCAGAATGTAAGTAGAAAATACTGCATATATAATCTGGTTAAACAGAGAAAAAGGCATCCTACAATACGTTGTTAAAGGCAAGGCTGCTGGTATTGCCAGGCATCAGTAGAAAGTGTAAAATGGTATATCGCTAGAATCAGATCAAAATTCAAAGTTTTATGACTACTTACTATGCATCGCTATCACACCATTGCAACAGGAATTTTTGGCAAGTGGAACCATCATAAAGTGAGGAGCATCTTGATATAAATTGTTGCTTTCTTTAGACATGAAAAACATTAGTAAATTTAAACAGGAAACAATATTACGTAGACATACATAATTGTATGTCTTTTTTTACATTATGTAATATATTGATGCAAATTGGATGCAAGTTGGAGAAATAGCATTTTAAACTTTAGTGACGTCATACATGTTGCAAATATCAGCATAAAAACCAGCCGAGTAGGTGAGAGTACGATGCAAACAGCAGTTCATTTTGTTACTGAAATTTCAATAAAGCCTTTTAAAAAGCCTTTTAGTGCATAAAGGTCACTGAAAAGCACCTATCACAACACTAGATCCTGTAACTCTACACTACACTGTCGTTGAAGATAATTGTTCCATATATTTTTTTTCTTGCCAGTTTTAACAGGCATTAATATATATATAAAAAATGCACAACTTCGATCCATTCATTCACCCATCCATCTTCTGACTGCTGAGGTCTATACCAGGTAGTAAAGGTACAAAGCTGTAGTGCACTGTGGATGGGATACCAGTCCACTACAGAAATTCAAATTAAAAGGGGTCCAGAAATAAATAAATAGTAATGAAAACAGGGTGTGAACTGCTCATACATTTGCCTACATTTTGGTCACTTTTGTATAAATGTAAAGAACTCTTCACATAATACTTATATGATAAATTGATACAAAAAAGCTTTGTGAATGGATACAGAAATACAACTGTGTGATTACCATGATTATTATAATGAATGTTTCATAATGGAGCTTTGAATGACGAGCTCTTATGGTCCTATCACAGGGCAACACTGACGAATTGCTGTGGCACAGACTCTGCTGTTCAGAGCTGACTTGTCACATTCTTTGCATGTTTCTGGTGCCCCTAGCTTCAGTCTATACACCCCAGACTGTTGTCATCTTTCCCTCTTGTTCATCCTACAGCTACTGTATTTATGTGGCATTTCAAATATGCACTTTGGTGAGTTAGCACACCTGCAGAAAATCGGATTTAAGTGCATGTGTTTCATACAGTGTGTACTGAAAAAAGATCAGCCCCCTTCAAAATATTCACATTTTGTTCCTTTGCAGCCTGAAGTGAAGACATACAAAAAATATACTTTTCCAGCTGTGTTTATTCAATGCAACTTATAATAACAGACAAGTGAAAGACAGAAAAAAATAATAATAAAAAACCCAATCACTGAGATGGTTAAAGGATCATCCTCCTCATAATAAACTAAATCAGGTGTAACTAATCACCTTGTCCATTGCACACCAAGCTAAATGACTTCCACCTGTGATCAACTGTAATTATTCTGATGAGCTCAGCATAAAAATGGCTATTCAGTCCAGCGCTTGTAAATGCAAATGACAGCAAACAATCAAGTATGGGTGGCAAGACACTTTCAAAAGATGTCAGGCGTAAAGCTGTGGACAGGTACATAAAAAAAATTCAAAGGCTTTAAAAATCTCTAGAAGCACAGTAATGTCCTTAACCAAGAACAGTAAAGTTTTGGGTACGACTAGGACCGTTACTGGATCAGGCTGTCCCTCCAAACTGGATGGAAGACTGAGGAGGAAACTGATTAGAGAGGCTACCAAGACACCTATGGCAACTTTGAAGCAGTTGCGGGAATTTTTGGCAAAGAGTGTGGCCATTGTGTGCATGTGACACAATATCACAAATGCTCCAGAAAAGTGGCTTGAATGGGAGAGTAAAAAAAAACACTGATGAAGAAAGGCCACAAGAAATCTTGACTGAGCTTAGTCAAAATGTACCTTGAAGATTCTGTGACCAAATAGAAAAAGGAGTTATGGTCAGATCGACCTATTTGGCCTCAATGCCAAACGGTATATCTGGCAGAAAGTCAACACAGCTTGCTATCCAAAGACCCCACACCTACAGTAAAGCATGGCGGTGACAGCATCCTGTTTGAGGGTGTCTGTATGCAGCAGGGACTGGGGCACTTGTCAAGATAGAAGGAAAAATGGATAGGGCAAAATACCCTCAAATTCTTGAGGGAAAACCTGCTGCCCTCTGCCACCAAATTGTGGCAGAAAAACGGTTCACCTTCCGACATGACATTGATCCAAAGCAGAGCAAAGTCGACCACAGAGTGGCTAAAGGAAAAAACTTGAATATCTTTGTGTGGCCAGTCAGAGCCCAGACTTAAACCCTATGGCAAAGCTGTGAATTGACTTGAAGATTGCAAAGCACCAATCGGTCACCTTCCAATTTGACTGAGATTGGACAGTTCTGTATAGAAGAGTGGGCAAATATTGCAGTCAATATGTGCAAAGTTGGTAGAGAAGTATCCCAACAGACTCATGGCTGTAATCAAAGCAAAAGGTAGTTCCACAAAGTACTGACACAGGGAGGTGATCCTTTAACCATCTCAGTGATTGTTTTTTTATTAAATTTTTTTCTGAACTGTTGCTATGATATCTTTCACTGCTGTTAAGTTTCATTGAGTAAATACAGCTGGAAAACATTTTTGTATGTCTTCCTTTCAGGCTGCAAAGCAACAAAATGAATATTTTGAAGGGGGCAATTCTTTTCTAGACCCACCTATGTGGAGTTCTCCAGTGAAGAGCTTCCAAAATAACTTTCTTTTTAAAATGTGCGTTCCAGAAAAAAACATATCCCCCATACCTTAACAGCTCACAATAACCCTTGCAAACAGACAAACATAGAACATTTAAAAATACCTGTTTCACTTTCAGTTTCATTCTTTACACCACTTGCAGTCCTTGTCATATAAACTAAAGTTTATATAAAATCCCTACCTATGAAGTTCAAGAAAATATTAAAATGAATTAAACTATGTACAGTCATATAACAAATTAATAAACTAATCAATATCAATAAGCCCTAAAAACCTCTCTAATGAACAATGCAGTCATTTTCACTAGGTTAGTAGATACGATGAGATGTAGTAGTTAACCAAATATCTATTCTAGCTTTAATTTGTCGCTTTCCCACCCTTAATCTCATTCTCTTTCTGTTCCAAGTTGATCCCCTGGATTTTGGGGATGAGGCTTGTAACCATGTGCTTTACAGCTGTACACTGGCTTCCATAAATGGGTGTCTGCAGTCACATCTAGGAGCCATAGGGAAGTCTCAGTGGAAATGGTGCCTGACTCCGTACCAGTGTTGGTTGAAATATGACGATTTAGGGTTGTATGAGGTGGTGGAACACACCCAGCCCAATGAAGAGGCTAGCAAATCAAGGCAGACACAGCTAACATGTGGGCAAGCAGTGAGAGAATGACATCAGAGCTTTGCGTTTACATTGGAGATCATCTCCTTGGGAACTTCCTTCACGGGGAGGTCGGCAGGGTCCCCCAGGCCGTGGTCTGTACTCTCACAGCTGCTCTGCGGGGACTCTGGAGGGGGATGGTATAGAATGCATGCCAGCAGGAAGAAAGCTGTTCCTAGAACCTGACGGAAAGCAAAGAACCACAGTTTACATCTGAAGGGTCCCAGAACTTGACAGAGAACCACAGTCATTTGACAATAGTCTGAATACTCTGTCTGGGAAACAATTCTCAAAATAATACTCTGTATAACTCTGAATATCGATCATTACTCCCCATCACCATAAACATGCTGAAATTTCCTATCAAAAGCACACACTCCTACTATCAATCATAACATAGCAATGTCAAATAACCTCTCTGACATAGATACTGTAAATAAAAACCTAGAGAGCTGCCATAATGCAGTCAGACAAGCACCTTATAAATGACCCCTGCAGCAAGTGTGTAGCTACTCATGGCGGAGTTCTGGTAGAGGTAGCAGGAACCCTGTTCTCCACACTGGTCTTGCCACAGGATACAGGAGATGTCGATCATGGATCCAAAAGCTATGGGGCCTGGGATTCCCCCTGATACACAGCATAGGGCAAAACATTAGTTAAATCATTTGTCTTTTGCTCAACTTTAAGACTGAACTTGATTTGTTGATTTATCTTTTTAACAACGTTTTTTAATTTGATTATTTTATTTCACTGCCAGAGAATACAGTAACTATTTTGGAAGTTACTTGTCCAAATCTGCAATGTTTAAAACCTTGTAAATCTGATCTATTCAACAAGCGAAACATACCAAGCGTCCGCACAACAATCCACTGAATGCCCAATCCAAAAGAACGCTGACTGTCTGGTACACACCTACAAGTGGGACAAAGGCAGGCTTTCAGAAGCACAATCAGTTTGCTAGGGGGACAAAGGGAAGCTTCACAAAGCAGCTTGTTTCTCGGAAGTATCCTAAAAATTCACGGCTTTGGCTGGCCAGCATTCGGTCTGCTTTGCTGGGAACTCCGGGCAATGTTGTCCTGCCATGCAATGCTGTCAACTGTGTTGTAACGACAGGACTTTGGTTTTGGCTGTTTTACAGTTCGTCTCCGACGTTTTGCCGTTACCTGTGGACTTGCACCCGATATCTTTAATTAAGCTGACACTGACTGCTATAAAGTATAGTGAGGAACATTCTCAAAAAAAACGTACCTGAGGGTGGCAGTGAGGGCAGGGATGCTGCAGAGGAAGGTGAAGAAAATGACGATGAAGAGGAAGACGAGTAAGACAGACATATGCTGGCATGAGGAGCTGCACTTTCCCGTGAGGGCAAACCCCTCCTCCATAGTCGTATTTCCCATTATGCAGCTGCAGCTGGAAAACAGCTGGGTAGAGTGACAGAAGGGCCAAGAGAGAAGTACAGAGGAGAATGAGGGTAAGAACTACACAAACTGTAGCACCAAACATGTTGGGGTGGACACACAGACACACACAGACACAGACACACACAGACACACAGACACACACACACAGACACACACACACAGACACACACACACACACACATCTCTGTACACTGCTGCCTGCTTACCTGTCGGTCAGTGGTGCTCTGTGAGTTGTTCATGGTGGCGCAGCCAGCATGGCAGGGGGAGTAGTACATGATCCCGTCGGATCCACACACCGGGTTGTACAGCTGTTCTGTACAGTGACATCCAGAATTGCACCCCACCGTAAGGTTCACCGTCAGCTGGGACCTTCAACAAAATGGGATTTCATAAGGCAAGTAAAATTATTTGCATGACACCATTCACACACGAGTAATTCTAAGTTCTTTACAGAAGATTAAAAATATCTACATTAGTGGCCAAAATTGTGGAAACACTTTTGGCATTATGCTTTAAGAATTACTACACGAATATTGGTGATAATGTTTATAAACAAATATTTGGAAACGTCATACACTGGAAAATTAAATAAGTTTCTGGAGCAACTGGAATAAAGTTCTGCAATTTCTAAAAATTGGAAGCGTTTCCACAATTTGGGCTACTACTGTATGTTAAAAAATTTAACACTGACATAAAATTAAATCTCTGAAGGTTAAAATACAATGAAATACATTAAGGAGAGTTGAAAGCTTTAAAAGTGTTTAAAATCATAAAAAAAGCTAAGATTACAACACAGTTAGCCAGAAGCATAGTGAAATAAAAAGGTCTTAAGCCTAAATTTATAAATGGCTACAGCTGTATCATGTCTGACATCCTCTGGTAGTCGGTTCCAGCTTTTGACAGCATGGCAGCTGAAAGCCATTTCACCCTGCTTACTTCTAGCTTTAGGAACTGCTAGTTGACCAGTTACAGAGGATAAAAGGGCTTTGTTGGGTTTGTAGGCTTCAAGCATCTCAGAAATATATTTTGTACCTTGACTATTTAGCGATTTATAGGCAATTAGCAGCATTTTAAAATCCATTCTATAGCTGACTGGAAGCCATAAACCTAAAAATTTGGGAGGTGTGCTCTTCTTGGGTTCAGTAAGCGATCTTGCACTGGAATTCTGAATAAGCTGTAAAGAGAAAAGCATTAAAATAAACCACCTTACTGGAAATGAGAGCATGGATTATTTTCTCCAAGCCTTGATTGGACATAAGCCCCCTGACCATAACATGGAGTAACTGCTAGAATGCAATCAGCTGTCCTGTACTGTCCTGTAGCTGATGGGCCTTTGTACAGTAGTTGTTCATAGTGACAATTCTCTCTGAGACAGAGGGAAGCTTGTGTGATGATTGATGAAATTTACGAACAGGAAAAAGGCCAAAAGGGCAATATTTATTATCGCAATTTGTTAATATAATGCTGGGAAAAAATGGAATGGTTACTAAATGTGCAACCACTACTAGCAATCGTTCTATGAGGATTAGGCACCATTGTCCTAGTTTATGAGGTTAATGATAGTAGCATACTATAGTTCATTCAAGGTCATAGGATCGTCTTCTGTTCATCGTTGAAAGCAGTGCTATTTCCCACCTGTTTTTGGAGTCCTGGAACATGGTGAGGTACTGGTTCTGGTATTGGAGAGGGCTGGTGTGGTAGGCTGTGGTCACACCGGCCATGGGCACATTGGGGCAGTGCATGAGGAAGATGAATATGGCCAGCAGGCTGACAACGGCGCACAGCATGCAGAAGCGGATGATGCCGCGGCAGCGTAGGCCGAGCTTCTTGACGAAGTACCCGCCCAGGAAGGTGCCACCCCCGCCTGCGGGCACCACCATGTAGCCTGCGGAGGTGGCGAACAGAGATGGGCCCGCTCATTCTTCCACTCTTTGGTTTGTCGTGTGGCGAGTGCCGCCTGACAGGAAATGCATCCGATAGCCCTTTCTCTTACCAAACCAGGTCGCCGCCTCAGACGCACTGAGGCTGAACTGAGACTCCAGGAATTTGGGCCCAAAGGTGGACATGCCTGCGATGAGGGTGGCCTCCGTGGCTCCAGCGAAACAGAGGAAAATGAACGTGGGGTTTTTTAACAGCAGCATTACTGACCTAGACAAGCACAGACAGACAGGTGCTGACTCAGACTGAGGCTGCGCAGCTGAACTTGCGGTGTAACATTTAGGGCAGAGACAGAAAAAAAGGCTTCAACAAGACAATGATTTCCTGAGGTTTAAATGTCTGACATCTGGAAAGAACAATTAGCTGTTTATCAAACAGGCTCTGTAAGCTTTGAGGTCTTAAGACCAAGGCTGTTATAGGGCACTTTTCCACCGTACCAGGTACCGTGCTTTTGGTATTTCAAGAAAGTATATTTAAGGTGTTTGGCAGACGCCCTTAACCCAGAGCGACTTGCAGAAGTGCTTAGAAGTCTCATCAGTGAATACATTCTGATGCTGGTTCAGTAGAACCAGACTAAGAATACTATCACTCTAAAAAAGTATGGCACATGTCTGTATTTGTTTGTCGTGGTTTAGTTGTACTCTGTATTTATTTATTTTATCTGTGTTTTGGCTGTCTGGGGTTTTTATTTTGGGGTATTAACGTTCAAAGGAAAGAAAGGGATAAAAGGGGGAGAAAAGGAGGAGAGGGGAGGGGGGAAAATAGGAAAGGGGGGAAAAGAAGAGGGGGGGAAAATAAAAGTGTAGTATTGTTCTGTAGTGTACTTACTGCTGCAATTTTTCAAATCAATAAAAAGACATTTGAAGAAGAAAAAAAAAGTATGGTATTTCAAGGTGTTTGTTTTCCACTGGTCTATGAGCCACTACCAGCCCGGAATGACATCATAACGCGAGGCATGGTATTTTGTACTGAATTTGAAAAATGGCTGTAGTATATTACACTAGCCGACATCAAATTTGGTAAATAATATCAAATGACATTTTTCAAACACTCTTCATAAACAAACATTTTTAGTATATTTAGTTTTGCTCCAGCACATCTGGTTTTTCTATGATTTCGACTATCTTAAGGGGACAGTGGCATTTTACCGCAATAATGAATTTTTGTTTTGGTATCTTTCTACCAAGATTTGGATCGGCAAGGGTGGAAGCAGATGGGCGCGCACCGGTGGAGACTACGCAGTCTTTATTTATATTTATTGCCCTTTTGTCCCTTGTGGTAGGGTGGTACCCCTATAACCAGAGGGGAATAGTAGTTCCCAATTAGAGGGGTGGGGACAAGGGTTTATAAGATGGTGGAAGGGTTAGTTTTTTTTTGAGCCCAGCTATTTGTGTGCTCTCGGAGTTCGAGATCCTCAGCTGTGTGGGGACTAGAGGCCACAGTTAAGTCTGTTGTATTTGTTTTTTTTTGTTTGATAGTTATTTGTATTAGTACCCCAAGCTGGTTTGGCACTTTTAGAACTGGAACTTGGTACTGGTACTCGACCGGAAGTCAATGGAAAATACGGAAAGTACCGTACTAAAAGCATGGTACTCGGTTCGGTGGACAAGCACCCTTACTCTACCATCAGAAAGAGAATTATGAGGAGACACAGAAAGGCCTCCGGCTGTACCTGGGCATGTCTTTCACCGTCTTCCCAAACTGTGGATCGGCCGCCCTCTCCTGGCTCCCGTCCTTCATCTGATGGGCCTCCGATACACGCATAGCCACATAACGCTGAGAACCTGGTACCCATCATGACAATGAACACACCAATTAAAAGAGCAGTAGTCCTACAGAGAACTCCCGTAGAAGCTCTTTTATGAGCACCATCTCTCATGTAGTGATACTACCGCAGATTGCAAGTCACATGGCAATAGGACTTTCAAAGCCTGCACAATGCAAGATGAGGGTGGACAATTACCTGGCAGTTGCCGTGGATATCCCAGAATAGGGAGGGCGATGACGAGTGCGGCAATACCTCCCAGGATGAAACCAATCCACCATGCCCCCACCCAGAGAGGATTTTCTGGGGTCAGTTCAGTCCTGTGGAAGATAGAGGGCAACATATGTGAAGTGAGAAAGAGACTGTACAGCCTGTCCTAGGCCCGGAGTGGCCAATCTGGAGACTGTGAAAAAGTCATGTTGTTCAGATACAAAATTACTTGACAAGTTTATAATTCTACAACAAAGCTTAAGAATGTTAAACAGCGAGTTGTGTGTGCACGCACGCACAGACACAGATTGCTCTGCATAGAAAAATGAGCAAATATACGGATTAACAGTGTGATCGTCTGTTATTTAGAACCGACTGAGCGGTGCCACAGCTAAATTGGGTGCTATTGCTAATCACTGGATGTTTCCCAAACGATGGATGTTAGAAAGAGACCATGCAGGGCAGGCTGAAAAAAAAATCAGACTGCTTAAAAAAAGACTGCTTAAATAGTTCAGTATGCTATTTACTACTACTTTTCTTCTTGGAATGTCAGTAAAAAAATTATCGGGCTAATAACAATCATTAATCAAAGTTCCCCCAGAACAAAGACAAAATGGGCTGGTCTTGGGCAGAAATCAGCATGCATGGATTTTCCATTTGGCATCACTTAGGTTTTTCTTTTTTTTTTTTTAAAGAGCGATCGTTAGCTTTCTGCACAACCAAATGTAGTCTGGGGAGTGCTCAATGAGGCAGGATGTCCGGAGCTTGTCCGAGTCGCTCCTCAGGACTAGTCTTCTTCCTCAGGATCATAAAAAAGTTCCAAGATTTCTCACAATGTATTTCACGCCTGACATGCTCCATGTGACAGTCTCCTGAGGATTAGTTTGTTTACCGGGGACCCTATAAAACTGAGAATTACCGAATCATGTGGATGGATTCCACACATGTACAACAGCGTGGTTAATTTCCACTGAATGAACAGATGGAAGTTTCCAGAGGTTTGACTGGAGACAACCCTGCAAGGATCCATAAAAGGAAGTGGGACTTAGAGATGTGGCAGGACGAACACTTACGTCTGGTGGATCTCCGTATACATGTTAAGGAAGATTCCCCCCAGCAAGTATCCAGCAGCAGGTCCCACTATGGCTGCCGTGTAAAAAATTCCTAGGAAGAGAAGGATAGTCAGCTGGGACTGACGGCATTGTTAGCTTTGTCCTGTCTGCATCCTAATGGGTTGTTTTTGTTTAGGTCAAGCGCATTTGCTAAACTTCCTTGATAGTCTTTGATAGCGTTTTAACTGCTAGGAGGAAAATGCAATTCAAGGACATGTTATTGATGTCTGGGCTGGGACTGGTGGCCCTGCTGAGAAGGCTGGTGTATTGCTAGAGGCCTAAAAAGCAAAAAGGATAGCTTTATTGTGCAGTGAAATTAAATGGATCAACTGTATCCTGTAAAGAACAATGTGTAAATCATAGATGCATGTAAGCCACAGCTACAATGTCATTTTGTAGAAGCAACAGAATTCAATATTTTTAACCTGTGTTAAAATAATGACACGTAGTATAACTAGATGTTATAACATTTGGGACAACTGGATTATACAAGGACAAGCAAACTGCTTCAACCAACATCAGTAAAGTTTATTCTAAGATGGCTGGAGACTGGTCCTTCTGGTTCTACACTGTGCTCAGATCCGTGTTTACCCTGTCAACTGACATGCTGGCTTTGTTTCCTTTTTTTTTAACAGAGCTCCCAAACAAAAAACAGCTGACTAGTGTGTCCCCTTTCCCATGGTGAAAGTGTTTCAGTTCTGTGTCCCTACAAAGCATGGATGCCAAAGGTTGCAGCATGGCCAGTGGGTCTGTCTGGCACAACTTCCTGACAGAGGTACTGTAACATACTGTACACAAATACTCACAAACACGGGGAATTCCCTTATACATCACTACCCTTTAGAATAACCTTCAACCTTCTACAGCTCCTTTCAGATGCGGCAACAAACTAGCCCTACGAAAACAATTTTTTGAGTCTCACTCACCTTTATTCAGTAACTATATAATCCATTACCTGCGATCATTATTTTACACGTCTTAAATAATGCAGGTTACAACAAATGTAACCCAGAGACACTTAATAGTTTGTCATCCAAATTAAATAAATAAAAGATGTAGCTCACATGTGGTGTCTGAGCTTTTTTGTAATTCTTTGTAGAATAATTAGGATGTATTTTCTGCTCATTCAGTCTTCTGTTGAAAGATTTAGGCCTAATCTCTTAGGGCCTGTGCTGGCTTATGAATATATACTGGTTTTGGACTGATCTCTGGCAGTGACTGTCCTCTAGTCATGACAATTATGACAATAGAAACAACAATATTTAACATTCTCCTCTTTGTCTGAGTCATGTCCAGGGACTAGACTACAGAGTTCTTAACAGACAGAGCAACCTGTGACCAAATTTCTCAAACATTAGCAGTTAGGCAAACACAATATTACAGAAATTTCCGTGACACAAGATCATGAAGCAAAAAAAAATAATTTCTTGACTGTCTTATTCTTCAATGATTTATTCCTGATTGTCAATTTTAGCTTGAAACTGGTGAAAGTGATTGGTGCCATATGCAAGCATGTGTGTAATACTAGATGAATCAGGAAGATCTGATCCACTATGCCCATCTGGAAAACCACTTACCAATGTAGACTGGTGCGTAGCTGGATTTGACATTCTCATCGAGGTACGTAACACCCAAGGTGTAGAGCGGTGTGGCCCCCACACCATGCAGGAACTGGCCCAGCATGAAGACAAATCTGTAGCTAGACAAGCTGCTGCTGCTCTCATGGCAAGGACTGGTTCTGTTGTTCAAGCACAGGCTGGTCTGCTCCGCCATGCTAACCTGGTATGTGGGGGTGGTGAAGTGCGGCAGGGCAAAAACCAGAGAGCCCAGGGCCATGATCAGCACACCCCAGCCAAGCCACTTGGGCTTGTGGCCCGTACCTCCAAAGTAGCTGACAAAGGTCAGACAAATGCAAGCGGCAATGTCATAGGAGCTGGCGATCAGGCCGGTCTGGTAGCTGCGCAGGTCAAAGCGCCGTTCGATGGATGTTATCACCGTGTTGATGAAGCCATTGATGATCATCCCCTGAAGGAAGGAGGCCACGCACAGGAAGAAGAGCACCCAGCGGGGTGTGTTGAAGGCTTGGATGCACTGAGGTGTCAGGGCCCCCCAGCCACAGAGATGCTCAGAATCTGTAGGGACAAACTTGACCCCATATGAACCACCTGTCTCTTCCCTGAAACCTTCTCCTAGAGACACAGTGTCAATTTTCTGGTTGACTGTACTTAAACTATCAGGGCTGAAACCTTCTGGGGAAACATCCTGGATCTCTGCTGTATCGTGACCATCCAGGGAGCCAGGAGTTGACCCATCATGGAGATCCAGTAGTTCCTGCCTGGAACTGAAGGAAGTGTTGGCATTTTGCAGGTTGGGCATAGCTGTAAAAGTAAGTTCTATTTCTTGGAGGAGGATTTTCCTGGGTCGGTCACTGACTCTATATCCCTGAGCACCATAAGATACTGGTGGCCTCTGTCTGTTGGATGCTGTTCTCCCGGTAGAATAGTTCTCTAGGAGAGACACTTGTGATGGAGAGCTGCAAAAAAACCCTGCAAAGGAATAAACAGACAGACAGGTGGCTTAATTTAATTAGCGAAAAATACACTGAAGCAAAAAAAAAAAGAAAAAAAAATGTAATTGTGCTTGTGTATTTTTATATACACAAGCTTTGGAAAAAATTAAGAGACCACTGCAACATTTTTAGTTTCACTTATTCCTCAGTTTATGGGAATGCATCTGTAAACTCCAGCCTAGTTTTTCCCTGCTTCACATTGATGAAAGGCTTCTTCCTTGCTTTAGGGGTCTTTAAGGGCTTCTAGGAATCCTAGCAGTCCTAACTGTCCTAGCAGTGCACTTCACACCACTTAGTGTTTCCCATTCTTTTTGAAGGTCACTTAAGGTCGTCCTCCAATTTATGAGGCACTATTGAATAAGTTGATGGTCATCTCTGCTTCTGCCCTCTACCTGGCTGGTTTTTGGTTATTGCCAGTATCTCCTGCTTCAACTTTTCCTTGTGTGCTGCTGCCTTAGAAACTCGAAGTCTGGAAGCAGCCTGCCTCACAGTGTAGCCTTCTGCCAGCAGAACCAGGATTAGAGCAGGATTTAAAAATGCAGATTTAAAATATATATATATATATATATATATATATGGAGTGATCTCAATTGTTTCCATGGATGTGTATGAAATGATGCTTTAATTGCCATTTGCACAAATACACTGGAATGCTTCTAGTTACATATCCCTAACTTGTTTTCCTATGAAACATACATACCCATATACAATGGTCATGATTAAAGCTTGGGGTCCAAGTCCAGCCATTTATCTGGATTCCCGGTACATTACTGTATGTAGTAACCACCCCCAAATTCCCCAAATACTTGATATGGTACCTGTAACATATGTTTAGTTGTTCGCCATTTACTGGAATTATTGATGCGTTATTTTCCTCATCACCACAGTACATATCACCCTGACAGTAACTCTGTTACTATAACCAATTGTGTACATTTATTGGAATTATGCTCTTTACAAAACACAGAATAACATTCTTAATAACTGTGTATATATGCACTGATTGGTTTAGTAAACATGGTCTGTAAGAAGTATTAACTATCCAATATGACAGAAAGGGAATGGTGTTTCTTACGGGCATATTTTCATCTTCTGCACTGATCTTAAGTATTTTCAGTATTATAGGAGACAAAGTGCACAAAAGTTTGCAATTGTGTGTATTAGTGGCAGTGCATCCTGTACTCTGAAGCAATTAGTAAATGATAAGAACAAAAATACAGAACGAACAGAAACGAGCAGGAACATAATTTGTGCAATTCTTTGGGTTTCTGTCACAGTGCCCAATAAGGCCTCTTACACAATTACAAAGCATTAAAATCAGTATTAGTCACAGATAACCTTGAACACTGCCAAACAGTTATTCTTGGTTATTATGGAGGCCTAAGGTCATCTTTAAAGCAAAAATAAAACAATAGCAGCAAAATGGCATGTAGAAATGTACTAGTGCAGCACAAACTGAAAGCTGTTCAAGGATGAATTTGGGACTTAAATTTCCAAGCTCCTTCCACTCGTCTGGCACTGCTTTTTTATTTTCACTCTCCGGGTTTGTGTTTTGTATGCCACATGAACACCCCTACTGGAAAGGCAGACGGTAATGCTCCCCGCTTGCCATGTGCCAGAGGGGTTGTGCAGTTATTACTAAGTTTAGCGTGTGACTGCCATGGGATTTCATTCATTCCATAATCTCTGCTTTGTGATTGTGGTGGTAAGAGCACCACAACTAGTCCCCTGCCACGAGTATCACTATGCACAAGGCATTAATTAAAGATATGAAGGAGGTTGGAGGACGTTAATTGAGATTCATGGGGTAAGTGGCTCAGAGACCCAGCTCATAGTGAAAGAATGAACGCCTTTCCTCATTTCATGTAAAGGGAATCCAAGTCCTCTTAATTTCTCTGATTATCATCAACTGGAAGGTTCCTATAGCAAAGACAGCTCTTCTACTCATTTCATATGTAATGCTTGCTCATTGTCTACTTATATCATTACACAAACAGCAGAAACATGGTCTGCCAGATTTGATCAAAGTTTATAACTATTTGTGAACACCAGTAACTTTCCACTTCAAATTATTATTACAAGAAAAAGTTGAGCACAGACCAAATCTTCCAGCTAGGCTGCACCAGAGGATAGAGGAAGAATAGGGTTTAGCTTAATTTTTTCCAAGACATTGTTAGAGCTTTTTTTGCTGTGCATTAGACAAACATTTGCACCTCTGGAAACATTTCAACCTGACACCAGGAATAGAATAGTGACTTTACTAGTGCCCATGAGGAAATTGTGTGTATCATAGAGAGCAAAATGAGGCACGCAAAAAGACAGAGACATATACAAATAAGAGCAAGCTTGGAGATCACAGCAGGGCTCAAACTTGTGACCTTCTGATCACAAGCACAGAGGCCTAGTCTGCTGAGTCACATAGCCTTTGCTGTGAGTCATAGACCTGGTGCATGCCTTGATCATACCATCATACCGAGTACTCATTATACACTACATTTTGTCAAGTGAGTCTTACACAGTTTACAGTTATCCAATTAAATGGTACTTACATGAGGAAATCAGCACCGCACTCATTAATCAGCTGCATATCTGATACAGATACATCATCAACCCCATTACATCACCTAACAAGGTCTATACAGTCAATCTATTCAGAAAGGTTACACAGAAGAGCTTTAAACAAACAACAAAAGCAAAACTGAAAAGATAAACACAACACTCCCTTCCCATGAACATACAGTTTAAAAATACAGAACATGCTTAGTTAACTTCCCTAAGTCATTATCATAGAATAATGAAAATGATTATTCCAGCAAGTAAGGCTTTGGCTGCATTCGATTCTGAATACATGAAAATTTCAATGAGATAATTTCACTCAAATGGCCATGGCAAAGTTAAATTCCACGTATAAATTTGTTCACTATTGTAAACATTTAAGTTTCAAAGTTTTATTTGTTACACTCGGTACTATGTAGATGTAGATTCTTTATTTGCCACATGTAGTTATAGCTGCTACAACATACAGTGAAATGCTTTGAAATTGCAGTGAATACTGTATGTGCAGTGAAACTGAATTACTGCCGAGCTCCAGAATGAACAGGAGACACACATATACAGTTAAAGAAGAAATTTACACAAAGAATAAAAAACACTGCTAATAATCTTAAATTAATCAAGCAATATTTAATATTTAACATTTATCCATTTTATTATTTATCTGTACCTACTGCACAAATGTAAGCAGAGATAACTAGAGACAAAAATCCTTCTACGTGTGAACATACTTGACCGATTAAACCTGATTCTGATATATGCTTTTTCCAGAACTAAAACCTAGTCAATGGATTACCAAAGTTAATATTATTATTTTTAAAAGTTACAAAAAGGTTGTCAGGTCAATTACACACAACAAAACTGTACAAAGTTTAGACTTTTGAAATAGAATTGATAAACTATTACATAAAGTAAAATTAATCAAACTATAAAAACTGTAAAACTAATCAAACTATAATGAGTGGAAAGTATTTAAAAGAAAATCCAAAATTAACTGACTGAAATTTTGCCTGATTTATTATAAGCACCTTCCTTCACTTTACTCAACATTAAAAAAAAAACAGCCTGCTCAAGCACCACTGACTAAGTTAGTCTATGACAATCATCAATCCTACAAAATCCACTAAAATATAGACCTATCCATAGCCTAGTCCATTCAACAAACTCACCTGTGTCGTTCCTTGTACTTAGCTGATCACCCAAAGACAAAAGTACACGCTGACCACAAGCCTGAAGGCTGGAGTCATTATCTGATAAGTGGGCAGGTCACAGTTTGTGATCCAGGTATGAAATAATAGGTCCTGCTCTCTGATCACATTAGCACTGAGAAACTCACACTACTTATCCAGAAGATCTTTTTCAATGACCTCATTACTCAGGGAGGAATCATCCACCCAAACTTAGCAGAGCCAGGAAGAGGGAAGGAAAAAAAATAATCACTTGTAGCAGTTCAGATGTTGGTTCTCAATCCACACACCAAGAATAATAAACACTTTGCCTCAGAACAGCTCCAGATGGGGTAGAATAAAAAGAACACAAGAGAAGCTGAGTACTTCAAAACCCGCTCACCATTCCTCACTTTCCCAAGAACAAACTGCTAGTGTGACAACTGTCAGCAGTATATACTGTACAAATATATCATCAGATTAAACAAACTGTTGTGTTTCTCACTCCAGTGGGTGTACCATGGAAGACATTTCATTTCAGGCATATCTAATGCAAATACAATAGTTAACCTTTTCCCAGAATGCTTTTCTTTATGAGAGACGGCTTTTTTAATGTTCAGCTTTATATCATGCGAACCTCCATGGTCAATCCATATGTAGTAACCACCCTCAAATCTCAGGTTACAATGATTGGGAGCCTATCCCAGTAGGCATGGGTCACACAGCAGAACATAACCCAAGCAGAATGTTGCTTCATTCATAAACATAAAAAGTTACTCAGGTATTGATTGTGTAATAGTCAGTCTGGGTAGGAAACGACCTGGATTGATTGTAATGACAAGGTATGAAACAGAGTGAAAATGGAGCATGCTGCCACTGTGCCACTTAAATTCAGGAGTTTGAACCCCCCCACTTCCCACACAGACACAAACTTAATGAAGAAGGGCAAGACAATATGGACAGTTCTTCATTTTCATAGAATAACTGCCACGCCAACGAAAATAACAGCTGGAAGCTTTACCGACCAACTTTTCCCACCCACCAAAACTCAGGGGTCAATGCGCTTATGGAAAATCGTGGTACAGTACCATTGAAAAGTACTATTAATAATTTGCATTTGCCGCAAATATTTAACAAAATACAAAATCTGGGGCAACAGAGGAAAAGGACTATTTATGTGTTTCCCCTCCCTTTATTAGTTCTTCCTGCGTATTAATAGAAAGGCTTTTTACAATGGTGAGAATCGCACTTTTTATAT